GTGAACGGGTGGCCGTACAAGTAGTGGTGGAATTTTTTTACCCCCGCCACGATTGCCAGGGCCTCTTTGTCGATTTGCGCGTAGTTGCGCTCGGCGGAAGACAGAGTCCGCGAGTAGTAGGCCACCGGGACCTCGCGACCGTCTGGCAGTCTGTGCCCCAGGACTGCCCCGACCCCATAGGGAGAAGCGTCGCACGCTAGTACCACGGGAAAGGCCTCGTCGAAATGGGCGAGGACCGCATTGGAAACTAAAAGGTCCTTTATTGTTTGGAATGCCACAGCGTGCTGCGGCCCCCAGACCCATGGCGCCAACTTGTTGAGGAGGCGGTGGAGCGGTTCCGCGACGGCCGCCTTGAGGGGCAAAAAGGAGTGGTAGAAGTTCACTAGACCTAGAAACGCCTGTAGCTCCGTTTTGGACTTCGGGGCCGGGGCGTGCGTGATGGCTTCTACCTTGTCCTGGGAGGGGTGCAGGCCGGCGGCGTTCACGGCAAAGCCCAGGAATTCCACCCGCGGCACCCCCAGTAGGCACTTCTCCCGTTTCACCTTAAGGCCTGCCGCGTCGAAGCGTTGTAAAACGGCCCTCAGACGGTCTGCGAAAGACAAGAGGTCCGGCGCGGCGATCAGCACGTCATCTAGAAACGGCTGAACTTTGGGGATGCCTTTAAGGAGGGAATCCATTAAAGATTGAAAGATCCCCAGCGCGACAGAGACCCCGAACTGGAGGCGGTGCACTTTGAACGCCCCTTGTGGGTTGAAATGGTCTGTGCCTCGGCCATGGCAGTGTCCACTGGCAGCTGCTGGTACGCCTGGGCCAAGTCCAATTTGCCGAACACCCGGGCCCCTGCTAGGGCCGCTAGCACGTGGCTTACCACCGGTACCGGGTACGCGTGGGCCTGCAGGGCTTTGTTTATAGTACATTTATAGTCCGCGCAGATGTGGACGTCCCCATTTGGCTTGATCGGTGTGACTATGGGGGTCTCCCACCAGGCCGATGCTACCGGTTCCAGCACTCCCTGCTCTACCAGGCGGTCGAGTTCGGCCTCCACCTTCGGTCTCATCGCGATCGGGGGCAGCCTGGCTCTGATGCGGATGGGGCGTACCGCTGGGTCTAGGTCCAGGGATATGGCTGGGCCCGTGTACCGCCCCAGTGTCCCATCGAAAACGCGGGGGAATTCTGTGCACACCGCCCCGAAATCGTGTGCTCCGACCTGGTTGATGCCCGTAACAGAGAGTCCCAGGGCCTCGAACCATGCTAGTCCCAGTAAGCTGGAGAGAGGCCGGTCCACAACCAGTAGGTCCAGGCGGCCCTTGAAGCCTTGAAACTGGACCCTGAACTTGGCCATTTTCAGAGTCCTTCTGCCCTTACTTTGGTTTTCTGTCTCTAAAATCATACACGGTTTTCATCGCACCCATAGAGTCGCAGAGTCAGCCGCAGAGTCCTCGTCCGATCCAGAGGTTACTGAGTCACTTGACTTGGTTTCTTCCTCCTTAGATTCTTCC